CACAGTCATTTTAAACAAAGAATCCAACATAAACAAACGAAAAATCAAGGAATCCATCTTAATTGAACAAAACAACCCTACTCTAAACCAACACACCGGGGTGCCTAGATACCTCTTCTAAGTTTCACAACAGTTCCGGTCATGTGACTTCTTTGTTCAATACTGTATATATATATCCGTGTCAGTGTAAATTACTTGTACCTGATGATGACAAAACCTTGTCGAAACGTTGTACATTTGCGGTTATATTAAAGTTTTTCTTCATTACCGATTCAAGCCGTCTCCAGCCATTATTAGTCCAGCTATTTGTTTGCCTCTTCACCTTGTTGATATGTGGACATTGTATTGTGGGAGAGCAAAGTTCCTGGATGTCTGACCTGAAACCACGATAATGCTGGTGACACTGACAAAATTGTACTAATGGCTGGGAGATCCAAGATGCATGATCACACAAACATTTTTACTATAGCTGATTACCTACATTTATTACAACTGTATGCTATCAATTAGTACATCTACCATAGTGCACACAATGCACACTGTAGTATGTATATTCAAACTGTGATGAATTGATTAATTCATTTGAGTATTTTTTCGTGCCTTTTTGCGATTATACTTTTTTATATTATAGTCTTCCCAAGTCTGGCTTTTAAAGACACAAAATGAGGCAAGATAGACCCCTTTTAAGGTTATCTAGATTAGTCTTAAGAAAAGGCTGTCCCAACAAGTATCTGTCGATATTCTACCCTGCTACTGCTACTTTTATCAATTGGTTCATGATCACTAACATCATTTATTTTAACTAATTTAAACTGTTGATATTTGTATCAATAGCTTTTCTGTTGCAGTGACTCCCACCAGTGGGATGAAATAGTAAGTTAGTGGCTTTTATTGTCATCTTTCTGTTGTTGCCAAAAGGAATGGCCTATTTTTAAACTTAGATTAGCAAAATCCAAGTAGGACTGAGAAAGACTAAAGGTTTTGATCTAGTAATAGGGGATCCCAGAGAATTATAGTTCCTGCCCACAGAAGTGTGTGAATGCAAAGTTGAAGTTGAGAATATATAAATTTCCCATAAAAAAAATACTAATTATTGTACACCAAACAACTAATAAAAATATCCACAGTACTATTTCATGCTGAGTTTTCACAATTTATTTCAAGTTAACCTTAACCCCACTAGTTGTAAATTGTCCTTAAGAAAATTACAAGGATCAGTAAACCTTTCCTCCACCATTTGGCAGTGAACAGGATGTTTTCAAGTTGGCTGTACCAATAAGGATCAGTGATACATCAAATTATAGCTCCCAGTGTTCTAATTTGATCTGGGTAGTTTCATTGGATCCAGAAACATTTTCTATTTGAAAACACACAAACAAAACTATAGAACCATTTATAATTTTTTTTTAGCCACTGAATGTGTAGAAATAAAGCCATGTAGTAAACTTTGTGGTGCATATTACATAATGCATAAACTGATAAATAGATATGTCTACCCAGTTCGACTCAATAGCATGTCAAAAAATTATGAATGGAGATTGTGAACAGACTATAATTTGGCTTGGTAACAGCTTGTTTTATGTTATATCGTCGGGTATGGCTGGAGTGAAAGAATGTTTGCTACAATAAAAGGGTTATGAATGATGGCAATCTTGATTGTATATTAAATAAGAGTGTGATTTTTATGTGTACACAAACACACACACACATATATATAAAAGCAGAAAAATGTGAAAGTGATGAAAGGAATGAATAAATAGATTAGACTTTTAGAGAAGAATCACCTTTAACCCTATCTCTATGGTCACGGGTCAAAGGCCATGTCATTGTGTTTGTAGACTCGTATTCAAAATTTTATTGAACTAATATTTTATGAATGCATATCAATAAGTTTGGTATCTAATTGTAGATTATAATTTAAATTTTAGGATGATCCATTAGTTAATTTCATAACTCTTTCAATATGGGTTTAGTCAATGTGATGACCTCATAACCATTTTGTGATTGCTATAATTTTCATGCTAAAACTTTTAAATTAGTAAGCGAATGTTAACGAAATTGGCATATTATCAGCAATGCTTTCATAAGCAAAATATCTAATTTGGTCTTAAGGTTTGTAAAGCAATGTTTCTCTCATGCCTTTTTTTTTCTTCTCTCATCTTGCCTATCTATCATGCAGAGTAATTTTCATTTTAAGATTAAAGATACTTATATGCTTCAGAAAATTTTGAAAATCCCATGTGAATTTTTTATAATGTCCAGATAGTTATCAAATGCTTCTTAAGAATACTATTTTATCTGTTATTTTCAGTAATTAATCTCTGTACGGGTTTGATAGATTAGACCGATCTCTCAACCACCTTCAAAAATAAGGAATTCAACATAAATTATGCCTTTTTCATTATAGAATTAACACAAATTATAACATGAAAACATAAATGTTTACACGAAATAGCTTAAATCTCATAACATTATACATTTATATATATTTATTATTTTTATTATATTGACCTTTGACCCGTGCCTGGCTAACAATACAGAAGTTACAACAATGAGGCTCACGTGCACTCGTGTTACCGTATCAAATAACTTAGTCTTGGTCTGTACAAAGTAACTTGTCTTGGCTGTATTTTAGTCGACTAGTATTTTGTAAAATATAGTCACATTTTAATTATTATACATTATATATGTATATAGATTATTGCTATTTTGAAATAAGTTCTTAAACTTATTTTTCTTAAAACGTGGAATAGTAAATAAAGAAGTAAAGCAAACAATTATCTCTTCTAGTTACGACCTTTGTACTTGGTTGCTGTTTGACGTAGGTTGCTAAGCCTTTAAAAATTTTGCACGTATAGGATATGAAACAAAATACTTTTTTTTTTTAGGTTATATATATACTTTTGAATAACAAAAAATTATAAATTACTACATCAGTACCATAGAGTTCCACTATAATTTATCAAGCTTGGATGTATTTTACTCTTAAAAAAAAAAATGAAATTTTGAGCAGACTAAAGACACAACC